TGAATAGCAAGCCATGCTGGGTTGGCAAGCTGTTGTGGAGGAGCTGCCCCTGTTAGTGATCTGTGGAAATAGGACTGCTGCTCCCCATAGTGTGACCATGCAGCTGCCCTTTGCTTGTAGTGAAAGTAAAGAAATGCTGAACCCTACAGAAACCATCCTAGGGAGATGTCCTTGCAGTGGCTGTGGTGGTGCTGGGAAACTGGAGCTGGTAGGATATAGCTGATGGCTGGAAAAAGCACTGCTTCGGTAAGTTTGGAGCCTGTGCTACTTGTAAGCACTGCCTGTGCAAGGGAGGAGTGATGTGGGGTTGTCTGGAATGGTGTGTGATGGAATGGCCTGGTCCTGCAAGTTAGAAACCCATGTGAAGGGAATTAGCAGAAGGAAGTGTTCGGCTGTGTTTGCTTCAACTGCTGGAGCACGTTTGTGGGGAAGAGACCCCAGATGGATGGTAATTGTTAATGCCATGGCCTGAAAACTTTGGTGGCTGGATGCTGTTACTAGTACCTCTCATCTCATAGAGACTGTTCTGTCCTGGACAGCGGGCACAGAACACTGCACCCTTTCCTAGACTGCTGAGGTATGAAGAGGTCTTCACTTAGATGGAAACTCCTTTTTGTGCCAGTGGGAGAATGTAGTGTTAGAGTAGAAATCTGTGATACTTGTCATATGCTGAACACTACTCTCACTGTACCTATTACAGCAAGTGAAGAAGAAAGATGAAACTATTTAGTCTTCCTGTTTTCTTTTTTATGGTCAGTATTGTTGGTTTAATATTTTTTTAAACTCATCGGAGTAGGGGTTGTTTGTTCTTGGTCTGCATTGTCTAGCGATGCTGAACTGGTGAGCTGGAAGGGCTGATCTGTGCCATTGGAGTACTAAGATAATGTTGAAATATGTAGCAAAGCTGTTGTGGCCTAGGCAGTCTTCCTCCTGTAGTTCCCCGTTGGTATTTTAGGTGTTTGATTTAGCAAAATACTTAGAACGTATGTGAATTAAGTAGATAAATGGATTATTCAAGAAAACAAGCTTTTTCTGTCTGGAAGTGCTGTCAGCACTTGTCTAGGTTAAAGTCATGAAAGCATTTTATCTGTGTTGATTTGTGCTGTAATTGCTTTAAAAGGTGTAGGTTTTGGATATCTAAGATACAGGACAAGATTTCATTTGAGGAAAAACGTCTGTTCTTCCATATTGCATTTGCAAAATCTAGTTCTTGCCACCTCTTTCCCCTACTGCCCTTCCCTGCTTTGAGTGGTTTAGATGTATAAATAAGTATAGTAGGATGGGTTAATTTCATACTCCTTTAAAATAAACAGGTGGGCTGAAGCAATGAAGTGCAAATACCCATAATGTTAAGCCAAGAGGCCAATCATCATAAATTGTCTAATGTATGTGATTATGAAATGGGTCTTGATTGGGCGTGCTCTTAGTAATACTGAGTCAGTGAAGTAAATGCAATAAACGTGGACCAAATTGCAGGTTTTTATAGCGAGTAATTAGATAAAGTATAGTTAGCATGTGTTGCTCTGTATAGTAAGGCTGTGATATGTGACCTGTTTGAGTTGCTGTCCTTTATACTCTACTTGGGACCTTGAATAAGACCCTTCCTTGCCTGCATATAGGCACTTCAATTGGAGTTGAGCCACCAACTTATCCAGTAGGAAGAGTTCAGTATTGGAGACTATCTGATATACTGACTCTGAGGCCATTTGAAGTTATGTAATTTTATGGGCAATTAAAATAAACTTTAAGAACTAAACCCAAATGTATGGCTGTATCTGAAATGGAAGACGGTGGGTATGATGTGCTAATAAGGAAAAAAATATTTATAGTCTTGGCTAAAGTGTTGCTCAGGAAACTGAGGGGTAGATTTTGGTATTTTAGCAGTCTATTAAAATAGTTATTTAATGATTCTTACTAACTTCCATTCTAAGGACGTGCAAAGAGCAGAACAGAAGTCTTACGAAATTGGGGGAAATGTTTAAAAAAAAAAAGCCTCAACAAAGAAAACCAAAAAACACCACATAACTAAAGCTGTTTTCTTGGGGTTTATGGCACTCTAACACATCTTATAATTCTGAATCACTGGCTAACAAGATCTGTGGTAGTGGATTTGCCGTTTTATCTCTGTTTCAGAATAGGTGGTTCTAGTTTAATAATGATAGGAGCTTTCTGAATGTGGTGTGCCTCTTTCTAAAATAGCAGAGCTTGAAGATAATGCCTCACTTAAGCATAATCAATCTGATCTTGATTTCCTTACTGTGTCTTTGGTCTTTAGTCTAAAAATTAAGTAAAGGTATGTATTGCGAAGTTATTCAGGGACTGAGGAGAGGCAATAGAATTGGCTTTTAAGTGAAGGAAGTCAAATTCAGTCTTTGGTGACTTGCACTCACCATTGCCCCTGCCACAGTGTTCCTAGGAAATGTTCAGTAAATCCCTTAAGCTGTTTGTATCCTGCTGCTTCGTTTGCCTGGTCCACAAAACTGGACTTACAGAGTCATGTTCTGGTTTTGAGTCTCCATTGTTCTTGTTACAGTTGTCAGTGGCAATTCTAATTATAGCATTTAATGTAAATCACTTTCTTGAAGGCATCCACAGTCAGTTGATACTGAGGTTGTTCATTGTCGTGGTTCCCAGGTGTAAGTAGTAAGGGTAGTCCATGGCATTTAATTCATAAACATGTTGCTGGTTTTAGCTTTTTATTAAAATAGCTGAATAGCCTATAAGATATAGGAATCAACGAAGAAATAATGAGTTCTGCATTCCTGTGGCATTTAGATGTAATTGGGCCCATTGTGCCTTGTCTGCTGTGTGAAACCCAAGACTTTCAGAAACACGTAAGTGTAATAAAACACCTGAATGTAACTAAAAGTAATTAATAGCCTTAGTGTAATGCATATGCACGCAAGGAGGAAATTCACTTTGCACAGATGCATAAAACTCAGGTTTCCTGAAGTACATCTGCAGTGTTGAAGAACTTTCTAAACATGGCTTCCAAGCCTAAACAAAAAAACCCTACATAGCTGATGTTTGACTTCTGGTTTTTAGCTGTGTAAAGTCATTTTCATCTTTTGGTTAATAATCTATTATTGTATAGTAGTTGTGACCTTTCATTCTTAAGAAAATAACAGTTCTGTTTCTCTTGGCCTTATTTGATTGTCATATCGCCTTGTTTTTCTCTTTGTCCCTCCCTTGCTGCTCAGACCGTGATTTGTGTCCAGCCTTACCCTGCTGCGCTCTCTGACCTCTCCGCTTGTCTTCTGTCATCTCCTTTTGATGTTTTTGCATGTTGGTGGGGCTATCTCTTCCTTTGGGTTGTCTTATATTTTCCATTGTCAGTGTCTGACAGTAGATTGGCTTAAAGTAGCTGTTAAGAGCAGTAGTAGTTACTCAGTTTGCTATCGTAGGGTTGCATTTTCTTTGGTTTGTGGAAGTGCTTCAGGGGCAGCCTTGTCACAGATAAGAGCCAGGAGAGGATCTGGTGTAGATCTGATTTAAAAGGCGATCTTTAGAGAACTCAGCTGTTGCTATCAAGTGTTACCAGGCATAACTGAACTAATGTTTTGATGGAGATGATGCAAATGCTTGTTTCTGAGATTAGAGGTACCCTTCCCTCTTGTTCATAATCAAACTCAAACAGGAAACTGCGAAGTGTGATTGTACTGGAGCTTCTTCAGGAAGTGGCTGGAAGACGTCTAGCCCACACAGAATGCCATGTCTGTTCTTAGGTTTGTCTTCGTTCCTTAGTTGAATGTTTATTGAACTTGAACCACTTATGCTGAAATTTTCCATGCAGGCTGTCTACCTACGTAGCTGATGACAAGCCTGATGTAAAATGTTAGTAACTTTAACAGATTGTGATCTTGTATATGTGGAACAGGGAATGGAGCAAGCTCATGATCTGTATTAGCAATGTCTTTCTGCAAAAATTCTTAGAGGATTAAAAGCAAGCAAAAAAGGACTTGGATGTTTGACCTCAATCTGGGACACTGGAGGAGCACGGAAAATTGGAAAGTTATCTGAGGCTTCTGTTTGATCTCGGTTACCGTTTTCATCACCCTACTCTCTCTCTCAGTAACCCTGTCTCCAGTAATCTGTGCATTGATAGACCGTACTTTGTGTAGAAACCTTAAGGTACTTGCTGTGAGTGTTACATCCATACATCTTGAGGGGTTGTTTTTACTCAGCAGTGAATGACAGCATTGTAGCAGAGGCAATCTAAAGGACAGCAATGCAAGGATATGAAGTCAGGCAGAGTTACTGGGGAGGAACACAGTAAAATGACAGGCTATGGGAACACGCAAGTGACTGAGACTTTAACAACTTAGAGATAGAGATGAGAGTTTTTCAGCATCGTAAAGAAAATCGGAGTGCTTCAGACTGGAGATGTCTGAAGGTTAAGTTTGAACCTCCTGCTCAAAGGTGGACCAAACTTCAGCAGTTTGCTCTACGCACAGTGCATAGATAGGATAATGATAGCTTATGGTAGAAGATGGAAGCTACTGCAGGGTTGCTAAGTTTGAGATGTACAGAATCATCAAGGGTCAATGCTGGGGCCAGTAGGTTTTGACATTTTCATTAATGACCTGGAGGATGAGACCTATCAGCGATTTTGCTGGCAATACAGAACTGGGAGGAGTGGCTGATAGACCAGGCAGGTGTGCTGCCATTCAGAGGGACCCAGACAGGCTGAAGAAATGGTCTGACAGGAACTTATGAAGCTCAGCCAAGGAAAGTACCAAGTCCTGCACCTGGCAGGAACAACTCCATGCATCAGCACAGGCTGGGGACTGACTGGCTAGGAAGCAGCTTGGCAGATAAGGACCTGGGAGTGCTAGGGGATGCCAATTTGACTATGAACTGCAATGTGCCTGTGACAGCAAAGAAAGCCAACAGCATCCTGGGCTGCATTGCTGGCAGGTTGAGGGAGGTGATCCTTCTCCTCTACACAGCACCAGTAAGGCTGTGTCTGGAGTGCAGTGCACAGTTTTGAGCTCGTCAGTATGAGAGATGTGGATATACTGGAGCAAGTCTGGCTTAGGGCTACAGAGATGGTGGTGGGACTGCAGCATCTGATGTACAAGGAGGGGCTGAGAGCTGGGACTGTTCAGACCGGAGAAGGCTTGGGGTACGGGGATGTCCTATCAGCATACCTTATCTTTTGAGGGGTGGAGGGGTGTGTGGAAGATGGAGAAAGACTCTTCTCAGTGGTGCCCAGTGATAGGATGAGGAGCCACAAACACAAATTCAAATGAAAGACTCTTATTTTAAACAAGACTGTCATGATTGAACACAGGAACAGGCTTTCTGGAGAGATTGTGGAGCCTCCATCCTTGGAGATGGGAAAGGCTGACTGGATCCCTGTGAGCAATCTACTCTAGTTAACCCCCCTTTGAGCCAGAGGGTTCCAGTAGCTGATCTCCAGAGGTGCCTTCCAACCTCTGTTGTTCTGTGGTTGTGAAAGATGGCACCCAGGCTGCTGCCTGGACTATTACAGAGTGACAGGCTGAGAAAGGGGTAGTCTGTAGGATGTAAATTGTGTATGTTGCTTATTTTAAACAAGTTGAAATTTACCTCACACTTGTGTA